TATGGTAGAGAGCTATTTTGGACCACGCAACCCTAAGGATGAGGCCACAAACTCCAAGGAGCCTATGTCCCCAGCAATGAGGTTTTGCTATATCAAGTGTGGACAATTTTTGTTCCAACTATTACCTGGGAGAGAAAAACAAGATCTTCTATCTTATTTAAGCCATTTTATTTTTGTCTTTATTGTGGTGGTTGAACCTGTGTCATAATAGATAAATCACTTGCTCTCATTGGCTTATGGAACTATGGCTTCCCTTGACCCAAAATAAATACTACCTTGAAGTGCAGGCACTCAAAATTGTATATTCCATTTCCAAATTCCAACAAGAAGGAATCTGATTGGCCAAGCTTGGGACTGATATTCAGCCTGTCCCTGTCATCTATGGTTTTGGGATGTAGTGAGAGAGGAGGAGGGTCTTGTGGTGTAGAGAGCTACCCTATACAAAGACCATCAATGTTGCAGTTTTATTAATAATAGAATATGAATTGTTTCTGGAATGGTAAATTGCTTCCGTTAAGTTGTTAGCTTAAAAAGTTATAATTATTGGAGCACCTGGTGGCTCAGTCGGTTGAGCGCCTGGCTTCGGCTCAGGTCATGATCTCTCGGTTTATGAGTTCGAGCCCCACGTTGGGCTCTGTGCTGTCTGCATGGAGCCTGCTTCGGATCCTCTGTTTCCCTCGTCTTTCTGCCCCTCCCATGCTCATACTCTCTCAAAAATAAATATTAAAAAATTTTTAAGTTATAATTATTAGTAATAGAATATGGGTGTTAAGATAATTATTGGCCTTCCTAAAACCCTAAGATATAATGCATATGTCCAGAAAACAAACTTTTGGTAATGTAACAACAACAACAACAACAACAACAACAAAGCTTCTAGGAAATGTTGTAGATCAGAAAAGATTGAAGACAAATCCCCAGAATCTTCTACTTGTGTAGGATGGTATTATAATCACTGGATAATACACATTCTGCACAAATAAAAAAACTCAAACATTAAAACATGCTTCAATTGTGTTTACTTACTGAATTGACAAAGTCCAAAAGTATACCTATAGATTTTATAAATATTTTTAGCCTAAATTAACTAGAATTAGCCAGAAAATTCAATATGTTCAGGAAAATTTAAGTTACTCAAGATTTTGCTGTCTGTGAAATTTTTTAGCTGTGATATTATCAAAATGATTTTTATGCTCATATAAGTAAACTGGGTGCTGTAGGTGCATTTGGCTCCCATAACTTCACACTTAAGTTTAAATGTCATTCCTAACCTCTGATCAGTATCAGAGGACAGTGTGAGATTACTGGGGATATGGTCTCTGAGATTCTCCTTGTCTTTAGCTGTGGAGCCATTTCATTTCCATCAGGCCTATACAGTAGCATTTCCAAATGTGTGTTCTGTAGACCACTGGGACCCACATACACCGCAAGAAAAGTGAAGTTCCATTGTAAAATAAATTTGGAAAATATGCTGTAAGTTATAGATCCCTCTTAGAGGGGCATAATGCCATACATAACAAAGGCTCTGAGACATCCTGCTGAAATGAAATGTGTAACATCTGTTGACCATTGTTTAATCCTGTGTTTCCCCCGAGTTTCACATTTGGGAAAATGCTGTGAATATGTATATATTAGCATTGGGTGCAACAGATGCAATAATGAGGCCACGGATAGAATTGTAAGAACCAGAGGTCAAAGTAGCATAATCAGAGATGAGGTTGCCCGAGAAAGATACGATACTCATGCTTTTAATCTGGGAAGGGCTACAGATATGTTTAAACAGAGCAAAAAGTGTGAAGAGATATGTACATATTAGTCTTTATCACCAGATATGCCCAGGCCTGAAAACAGCCATTTGTATACTTTGTCATTTACAAGGCAATACATATGTATGTAAACTTTTACTCAATCCTCATATTAAACCCATAAAAATAAGTGTTACTCTATTTTGGAAATGAGAAAGCTGAATGTTAGAGTGGATGGTGATCGGCCCTTCAGGGGAACAGACACACTGCAAAGGAAAAATGAAGCCAGGATCCTTGGGCGTGCGGGTTGGGGGGGGGGGTGGGGGAAGTGTATATTCAAATAAGTTTGGAGAGGCACCATAGACCATTGAACATTCTAAAATATTGTCACAAACAACTCATTTACCTTCAATTTCACTTGGCATTTGTCAAACTTACTTGCCTGCAAGACATGTTTTAAAGTTATTTTTCCATATTAATTTCCTATCAACTTTCTACGGAATATACTTTGAAAATGGCTGCTCATTATCACCAGCATTGGTTCCGTACTGGCTAAAGATAAGAATCATCATGGCTGTAGCCCTCCCATGATTCATGGCTTGTTAGTCAGGCTACATGACAGAAATCGACGAGGATTCCTGGAACTGGATTCAAGTTTACTTTTGTGGGTTCTAGAAAGAACACCCTTGCTATGTAATTAGTATCAATCTGATTCCCCTCCCCACAGCAATCTGCCTGAATTACGTGAATGTGACTTTGCTCACAGGGTTTTTCTGTTGTGAGTCCTTTCCAAAAATTGAGCCAGGTTGACGCCTGCCACGGATTGCTTAAAGTATTTGGAACCTTATATACCTTCTGAAAAATAAATGGGAAGCTTGGGCCAAACTTTAAAAATGAATATTCCAGATGAAAACAAACTGATAACCATACCCAGATGTTAATTCAGTGAATACATCTCATGTGGTGCCATTGTAATGGCACATTCCAAGTTTTTGGTGGGCCAAAGTGCGGAATGCTTACAGTCTCCCAGACTCCAGTTAAAAGCCACATGTCCTTTGTTGGGGAAGTCCTGCTTCTTTCAGTTGCCATATTTAATTAGACCAGTCTCCAAGCAGTCTATGAACAGTCATTATAAACACATTGAAGGATAATTCCAGGAAAGGTACCTAACAGCATACCGTGAAAATGCAAATACAAAAAGGCATAGAAGTCACAGACTTCACCCTGGAAACAGGTTTTGGTGGGGAGGAAAAGTTAATCCCACTTCACTTTTCCTTGATTCAAATTTTCCTTTAATTCATATTCATCCTAAGTGACTAACTGAACAGAAGAGGGAGTAACTTCTAAGGAATATTTACATGTCTGATCTTTTGAGTTTTTTCCCCCCAGCTTTATTGAGATATAATTTATATAATAGCATTGTGTGAGTTTAAGGTATACAATGTGTTCATTTGATACACTTATATATTGCAAGATAATCACCACAGTAGAATTAGTTAACATTTCCATCACGTCACACAATTGTCTTTGTATGTATGTGCGTGTGGTGAGAACAATTAAGATTCACTCTCTTAGCAACTTTCAGTAAAAAATATAGTATTGTTAATTGTAATCATCATGCTGTACATTAGATCTCCAGAATTTATTCATTGGCATATAAAATTGTAGAAGTTTAAGGTATTCAGTGTGATGGTTTGAAGCATGTATATACCGCAAAGTGTTTTCCATGATAAGTTTTTTTTAACACATCTATCACCTCATATTTGGTTGTTATGGTGAGAACATTAAGATTCTAATGTCAGAGCAACTTCCAAGTATACAATACAGTATTGTTAGCTACAGTGACCATGCTGTACCTTAGATCCCTGAAATTTATTCATCTTATAACTGGAAGTATATACCCACTAACCAACATTTCTACATTTCCTCAGTCCCTTGGCCCTTGGCAACTACCATCCAACTCTCTGTTTTTATGAGTTCAGTGTTTCTTAGATTCCACATGTGAGTAAGATCATATGGTATTGTCTTTCTCTGTCTGACTTATGTCACTTAGCATAATTACCCTCAAGATTTATCCATCTTATCACAAATGGCAGGATTTCCTTCTTTCTCATGGCTGAATAATATGCAATTATGTGTATGTCTATACATCTGTATCTATCTCACATCTTTATCCATTCATCTGTTGATAGACACTTCAATTATTTCTATATCTTGGCTATTGTGAATAATGCTGCAATAAACATGGGAGTGCAGATTTCTCTTTGAGATAGTGGTTTCATTTCCTGTGTATATATATATACCTAGAGCTGGGATTGCTGGAGCATATGGTAGTTCTATTTTTAATTTTTGGATACTGTTTTTCGTAGTGTCTATACCAATTTACATTCCTACCAGCAGTGCAGCAGTGTTCCCTTTTCTCCACACTCCATTTCTCTGGCCATTTTTTAATTTAATTTAATTTTTTGTTTCTGAAAGCAAGTTTTGTTTAAGTAGGGGGTTAAATACATTACATAACATTAAAACTGAAGAAAAGTTAAATAAAAAACCAGCGTGTTACTTCACATGACATTGGGTAGCTTTTGCTAGTAAGTTGCAAGGTCTACAGCCAGCTACATGACTGATAAATCAGTTTGAAATTTGTTCCCTTGTTAAAAGTTTAACTCTGATAGAAGGTTGGCCTCACATTCTGGTGTTTGGATGTCAATTAGCTACGGATATGTCTGGTCAAAAAAACCTTGGTGGCAAGCCAGATGTCCTATCACACTTCACTAGAGAGAAGATGGTGACTCTAAGCCCTGTATACAGCAGGTTGGAGACACCAGGGATCTTTCTTTGACTACCAAGGACTCCCTCTAGCAGCACGACTGCCACCGACGTCTTACCTCATCCTGTCCTCTCAGCTCTGCCGCAGGCTGTTCAGGTGGTGACATTCTCTTAGGTCAGGGAACTCTGAAGAGGGAGAGCTGATGAGCTTCTGGCCAGATGTAGCCTGCTGTGATCTTGGGGCTTTGGGCTTGACTGAAACATCACATTACTGCTTGGTTTCAGGCCAGATACTGCCAGACGCCTACTGCTTGACCTCTGTTTAAATGAGGGACTTCAAGACTAGACAGCATGGCTCTTTTCAGTTTATCGGATGAAGGAGTTACACTAGTCCAAGTTAAAAGCAGACCCCAAATGGTTACTTTATACAAGCTGTGAGGTTTTCAAACTTATGACATGGGATAGAAGGGAAATTCTGCTCATTGCAAGGAAATCCTCACTTAAGCTTCAGTGAGCCAAAAGCACTTAAGACCCATGAAACTTCAGCTGGTCGTCCTTAGCCAGTCCAATCTCTGTGAGGGAGGAACTGGCATATATACTTGTACTGGTCTCCCAGTAGCTGAATTACTTCTCCATATTCTGGAAGCTCACTTATAGTACCATTGCAGGCAAATTTCTTCTTAAATGCTTTCATTAGTTTCTTTTTATTTATTTTTTATTTATTTTTTATTTTTTTAAGTTTATTCATTTTTGAGAGACAGAGAGAGACAGAGCATGAGTGGGGGAGGGACAGAGGAAGAGGGAGACACAGAATCTGAAGCAGACTCCAGGCTCCAAGCAGTCAGCACAGAGCCTGATGCGGGGCTTGAACTCACAGACCGCAAGATCATGACCTGAGCCAAAGTTGGTGGCTCAACCGACTGAGCCACCCAGGCACCCCACTAGTTTCTTTTTATCATAATCATTAGTGATCCCGTAGATAGTACTAGGGGTCTTCCTGTTGTTGCTCTGTTGAAATCCTTTTTAATATAGATTCTTAAATGTTTATTTATTTATTGAGAAAGAGACACACAGAGAGAGAATTCTAAGCAGGCTCCACACCCAGTGCAGAGCTGACAAGTGGCTCTATCCCAGGACCTTAAGATCATGACCCGAGCTGAAGTCAAGTCGGTGTCTTACCTGACTGAGCTACCCAGGCACCCCTCTCTGTTGAATTCTGAGGATATAATCCTCAGTGCCAGTAGGATGCAGATCATCACCCTTACTTGTATCAGTAAAGGGATCAAAAGAGTGAAGGTTTTGGATAGTGGATATTCTATAGGATTCCTTTTCCTCAGTGGAAACAGTGGAAAAATGGTGGGAGAAGGTGGGCGTGGGGATGGAGCCTTGGGAAGCAAAAGGCTCAAGGAGGAGGCTTCTGAGTCCTTGTTGAGCAGTGACTCTGCGACTGGGTCTTTGACCATTTTTTAATTGGTCAGTTTGTTTTTTGCTTTGGAGTTGTTTGAGTTCCTTACATATTTTAGAAATGAACCACTTATTAGGTATATGATTGACAAATATTTTCCACCCTTTCTCTGACCCTCTGTAGGTTGCTTTTTCATTTTGTTGATTAGTTCTTTTGCTGTCCAGAAACTTCGTAGCTTGATGTAGTTCCACTCGTTTTTGCTTTTGTTGCTTATGCTTTGGTGTCATATCAAAACAATTATTGCTAAGACCAATGTCAGGAGCTTTTTTTCTATATTTTTCCAAGCATTACAGTTTAAGGTCTTAGCTTTCATTTTGGTAAGGTTGTTGAAGATAAGGGTCCAATTTCATTCTTTTGCATGTGAACACCCAGTTTTTCCAGCACCATTTACTGAGGAAACTAGCCTTTCTCTGTTGGATATTCTTGCTTCCCTTGTCAAGTATTATGCAAGTGTTTATTTCTGGGCTCTCAATTCTGGTTTTTAAGTCTATGTGTCTGTGTTTATGCCAGTACCATACATACTGTTTTGATTACTATAGCTTTTTAGTACAGTTTGAAATCAGGAAATGTGATGCCTCCAGCTTTGTTCTTCTTTCTCAGGATTGCATTGTCTTTTTGAGGTCTTTGGTCGCATATGTATTTTAGGATCACTATTTCTATTTCTGTGAAAACTACCATTGGAATTTCCATAGGGATTACACTAAATTTGTAGATCACTTTTGTTAGTATGGGCATTTTTTTTTAATATATGAAATTTATTGTCAAATTGGTTTCCATACAACACCCAGTGCTCATCCCAAAAGATGCAGTATGGGCATTTTTTAAAAAAATTTTTTTTTTTCTTTTCAACGTTTTTATTTATTTTTGGGACAGAGAGAGACAGAGCATGAACGGGGGAGGGGCAGAGAGAGAGGGAGACACAGAATCGGAAACAGGCTCCAGGCTCTGAGCCATCAGCCCAGAGCCTGACGCGGGGCTCGAACTCATGGACCGCGAGATCATGACCTGGCTGAAGTCGGACGCTTAACCGACTGCGCCACCCAGGCGCCCCCAGTATGGGCATTTTTTAAAAGTAGTCTTTGCACCAGTGCAGAGCCCAACATGGGGCCTGAACCCATGACCCTGAGATCAAGACCTGAACTGAGATCAAGAGTCGGATGCTTAACTGACTGAGCCACCCAGGTGCCCTGGTAGCATGGACATTTTAACAATGTTAATTCTTCTGATCCATGAACATGTGATATCTTTCCATTTATTTGTGTCTTCTTCAATTTCTTTCATTAATGTCTAATATTTTTTGTCTTATAGTTCCTCTCTTAAATTTATTCATAAGTACTGTATTGCTTTTGGTGCTATTGTAAATGGGATTGTTTTCATTATTTCTTTTTCAGAGAGTTCACTGTTAGTGTATAGAAATGCAACTGACTTTTCTATGTTCATATTATATCCTGAAACTTTACTGAATTTCTTTAGTCTAACAGTTTTTTTGGTGGAGGTTTTTAGGGTTTTTCTTTCTGCACAGATTATGTCATCAGCAAAGATGATTTTATGTCTTCCTTTCTTATTCTGATTTGGGCACACTGAAAGCTGGAGGCCTGCAGCCATGGCCTCAGGGTCTTGGCACTGGTGCACACACTGCATTATAGGCCGGTGATTAGACTTGGTCAGCAGGGTGCAGGTGCACAGTAGTTGCAAGCAAGCCCAGGAGGGGAGGCCAGTGACATGAGAGGCCTACATCCAGGCCCAGGCGCAGCTGCAAGGGCTTTGGCTCTCCGTTGTGCCCCTGTAGCTGCAGGATCTCCCCACTGGCATGTATACAGCAGAGGAGACTGGTGATGGGATTCAGGGCAAGGGTGTGCAGGTGCACAGCCAGAGCGGCTAGCTTCAAGCATGCACTTGTGAGTGAGGGCCCACTACAGGGACTATAGCCTTGCCTTTTGTACTTCTACAGCTGCAGAGGCTGGGGGTTGCTAGTGGGGATTCTAGGCTCTGCTGGGGGTGGGCAGGCTAGGAATTGGAGAGGAATCAGGTGGCTGGAAAATACCTGTGGGATGAAAACCCTGTAAAATCTGCAGGCGATGTACAGCGACTGTGCTTGTCATTGAATTTTTCCGTGGCAAAAGCTGCTGGCCTCCTTGGCAAAGCAGGTCACTGGGAACCTCCTGGTGCATGGCTGATACTGGTAGCCCTTGCTCTTCCTTATTCCCGACTGTCTCTCTACATCTAGCTTTGCCGGTGTCTAGGTGGAGTGAGGTAGAAGCTGGTATCTGGAAAGACTGTAGAAGCTGGTTGATCATCTGCTTTTCCTTTCCCAGCAAGAGAACTTTCTCTAGCTAGCGCATTTCCTCTCCAGAATAGAACAGTGCGGGCCTTGGGGTGTGGGGTGGGAGGTTGTGAAATGATGTAGGATGAATGGAGCTGTTCTTCCTTCCCTTTAAATGCAGTTATTCTCAATTTTTTTTTTGTTCTACGCTGTTGCTGAGGTTTCTAAAATGGACTCCTGAGCTCCCCCAGAGTTATTCTGGTTTGTGGATAGCTATGTAATTGTTGATCTTTGTGGGAGGCAGAGGCTGAGGTCTCCTACTGCACTGTCATGGTGTCACCACCTAAATCTTTTCTTTTTCTCAAGTTTATTTATTTATTTTGAGAGAGAGAGCAAGCAGCAGAGGGACAGAGAGAGAGAGAGAGAGAGAGAGAGAGAGAGAATCCCAAGCAGGCTCTGCACTGTCAGTGCACAGCCCAATGTGGTACTCGAACCCACAAACAATGAGATCATGACCTGAGCTGAAGTTGGAAGCTCAATCGACTGAGCCACCCAGGCACCCTCTAAATGTTTTAAAATAAAAATCCATAGGGACACTTGGGTGGTTCAGTTGGTTAAGCATCTGACTTCAGCTCAGGTCATGATCTCCCGGTTGGTGAGTTCAACCCCTGCATTGGGCTCTGTGCCGACAGCTCAGAGTCTGGAGCCTGCTTCGGATTCTATGTCTCTCTCTCTCTGCCTGTCCTCAGTTCATCCTCTATCTCTCTATCAAAAATAAATAAGCATTAAAAAATCCATAGATCTATAATTTCTTTCTGTTCTTTTCAGCTCTTATCTCACATTCATAGTTGACAAAGATAGGATGTCACTTTATTACAAATTCTCTCAACTTCTGAAAGTCTGTTTTTTCACACTCAAAATAAGAAGATTAGATGCATGTAAGGTCCCTTTGTTCTTTAATTTTGGTGCACTTTCTGGCCCACAGTGAGTACTGGATAAACATTTGTCAAATAATTCTGGATATTCAGCCACATACACTGACCCCTACCAAACACAATATTCTGCCATCTAGCAGACCCATGTTAATACTGTGGTTCCACAATTTATTAGTTCTGTGAACTTGAGCAAATTGTCCTTTCCAAGTCTTTGTGGCTGTTCTATGATATGGATTAAAATATGCCCACTCCATTAGGTTAGTAGAGCATGAGGTGAGGCAGCCTCCATAGCCCTCAGTTTAACATCTGTTACAGAGCAAGCATGCAACTATTATTATCTTAACAGGCACTAATAAGAAATCATTATCACTAACTGTAGTTCTATGGGAATTTCCTAAGAGCCTCTGTAAGAATAGTTCTCATTATGGGTGCTTGTCAGCCTCGCTTGGCATCCATTACACTGGGCAATGTGTTCACAGTCAGAAAGTTCTGATATTTCCATGTTCCTAGTTTCTAGAGAGTCTCTTGCCTATTATGAATCCTCTGACTTCTTCACTTCTCCTCGCCATCTCTGCCCCATCATCATCCACGAGCCCCTGTGCATCTCATTCTCGCTAGCTTTGCATCCTGCCCTTTCCTAATGTTAGCACTCACTTACTCTCCTGGCTCTGTCACTCTTGTCAGGCTCTTTCACTGAGCCTGGGTTGCTTCCTTCCCTGGGAAGTGATATGGAAAATGTGGATAAGTAAGAAACATATATGCTTCAGACTAGATCTTCTTCAAAGAGCAATACTAAGACAAATAGTTAACATTTCAACAAAACTTATGGAAGTAGGAGTCAGTGGGATCATATTTTTAAAGTGCTGAAAGGGGGGCAAAAAAACCCTGCCAACGTAAAGTTCTATATTCTGAAAAAAATCCTTCAAAAATTATGACAAATTAAAGACATTTTCAGACAATTAAAAGTTGAGCAAAGTTGTAACTAGCAGAACTTGAATACAAGAAGTCTTAAAGGAAATTATTCAGAGTAAAAGAAAATGATCCCAAGGATCTTCAGGAAGAAAAGAAGATCTCCAGGAAGGGTAACTGAGGGTAAATGTGGGGAAAAAAATATTTGCAACTTAAAGCAGCAATACTAGTAATGTCTTATGGGGTTTATAACATTTGTGAGAGAAAAATATTCAAAAGCAACAGCACAAAACCAGGAAAAAGGTACATGGGATTAAACTCTTTTGCACTATTGACAAAGTGGTGAAAGTACTGATTTAAGGTAGATTGTAGTCAAGAGTGAGATGCATATTAGAATCTTTAGAGTAACCACTAAAAGAATAATATGATAATGCTTAATTAAAAGCCAACAGAAAAGATAGGGTAGATTACTGAAAATACTTGATTAAACACAAGTTTAGAAAGCAGGAAAAAGGAGTTAAAAACAAGAAGGTTAAAGAGAAACAAAAAGCAGGATAGTAAACTTATGCTATTGGTATAGTAATTACATTAGTTAGTAATTAAAATTGTTAGTTATTACATTAAACATTAATGGACTAAATACTATGATTAAGAGACCAAAATTGGTAGACCAGATTTAAAAAGTGATCCCAAATATTTTGTGTTTGTAATTTACGCATTAAATGTAAGGACCTAGATAGGGTGGAAGTAAAAGGATGGTAAAGATATACTAACACTAACCAAGGGAAAGCTGGTACAGCTATGACTCTCCAAGTGCATTTAAGGCAAGGTAGCTAGGGATAGAAAGAGGGATATTTCATAATAATGCAAGGGTCAGTTCAGTAGGAAATCATAATTCTAAATGTGTATGTATCTAATAATATACACTTAAAATATATGAAACAAAAATAAAAGAACTATATAAATACACAGTCATAGGTGTAGATTTAAAAATACCTCCCTCAGCAGCTGATAAAATAAGACAAAAAAAATCAGTATTCCCAAACTGTAGCATACATGATACCAAAGTCAGAACCAAAACAGAACATATGCTGGAACACCAAGTTTCTTTTCTTCTTAAAAATTTTTAATGTTTGTTTGTTTGTTTGTTTGTTTGTTTGTTTTGAGAGAGAGATAGCATGAGCAGGGGAGGGGCAGAAAGAGAGGGAGACACAGAATTTGAAGCAGGCTCCAGGTTCTGAGCTGTCAGCACAGAGCCCGATATAGGGCTCGAACCCACAAACTATAAGATCATGACCTGAGCCGAAGTCCAACGCTTAATCAACTGAGCCACCAAGGTGCCCCCAAAACCAAATTTCAACCAATTAGAAATGATTACAATAATACACAATATATTCTCTGATCAAAGTGGAGTTAAACTAGAAGGAAAAACAGAAATATAGATGCTGTCTTCAAAAACAGAACGATAGATTTCAGCAGAACAAAGATCTCCAATTGTTTAGAAATTAGGCAACATATTTCTAATTAGCTCATAAGTCAAAGAAGAAATCACAGTAAAAATTAAGAAAATATTTTGAAGGGGTTCCTGGGTGGCTCAGTCAGTCAACCATCTGACTTTGACTCAGGTCATGATCTCCTGGTTCACGAGTTCGAGCCGCGCGTTAGACTCTGTGTTAACAGCTCAGCTCGGAGCCTGCAGCCTGCTTCAGATTCTGTGTCTTCCTCTCTCTTTGCCACTCTCCCACTTGTGCTCTGTCTCTCTCTCTCTCAAATATAAACATTAAAAAAATTAAAAAAAATATTTTGAAGTGAATGATACTGAAAATATGGCATATCAAAACATGCCAAATGTAGCTAAAGCAGTGCTTAGATCTATTGCTTTAAAGAAAATATTAGAAAAAAAAGAAAGGTTTAAAATTAACGATCTAAGCTTCTGTTTATCAAAAGTATTTGATTAAAAATAGCAAATTAAACCCAACGATAGTAAAAGAAACAAAACCATAAAGACCAAAGTAGCATCAGTAAAATAGAAAGCAATTATAAACAGAGAAAATCAACAAAATTAAAAGTTGTTTCCCTGGGGGCACCTTTGTGGCTCAGTTGGTTGAACATCCAACTCTTGATTTTGGCTTAGGTCATGATCCCAGAGTTATGGGATTGAGCCAAGTATCAGGCTCCACACTACGTTAAGTAAGATTCTCTCTCTCTCCCCCTGCCCCTCTCCCCTCGCATGTGTGTGTGCTCTCTCTAAAATAAAAATAAAAATAAAAATCCAAGCAAAGTATTGTTTATTTTTCTTTTTGTAGAAATGTACAAGTTGAATTTAAAATTTGTGGTACCTGGATGTGTCAGTCTGTTAAGTGTCTGACTTCAGCTCAAGTCATGATCTCACCATTTATAGTTTGAGCCCCATATTGGGCTTTGTGCTGACAGCTCAGAGCCTGGAGCCTGCTTTGGATTCTGTGTCTCCCTCTCTCTCTGCCCCTCCCCTGCTCTCTCTCTTTCTCTTTGTCTCCCTTTCTCTCAAAAGTAAATAAACATTAAAAAAAATGTTTATGGAAATGCCTAGAATCCTAAGACAATTTGGAGAACAGAATTGGAAGACTTGTACACCACCAAATTTTAAAACTTATGAAATTATAAAACCATAAAACTACCATAATTAATTCAGTATGGTACTAACAAAGGATAATCAAATATTTCAAAGGAACACAGAAAGCCTATTAGAAAGTCCAGAAACAGACCCTCGCGTAGAGGTCAACTGGTTTATAATAAAGGTACCTCTGCAACTCAGGGGGGAAATGACAGTGTTTTCAATAAATAGTAATGGATGAATTGGATTATAAAATAACTTGCTCCGTAGTTCATTATATACACACAAAAATGTATTTGAAATGAATCATAGACTTAAGCATGAAAAGGAAAACAATAAAGCTCTCAGAAAGAAAAACATAGAAAGGTATCTTTTTACGAAGTTCAAGAACTCACAAAACTGCTTGATAGTGATGGAAGTTCGGAGAGTGGCTTAATCCCCTTTTGGGATTAAGAAGGGGAAAGTGGACCC